GCCATTGTTTTATTTAGTTACATCGAGATAGGCCAAATGTTTGAATGTAACTGTAGTCAGCGAATTAAGCACGTTTTTAAATTTTTGGTTGTTGTTATTCGTAGATATCGACATGTTAATAATCAAGATAATAGTTTATTTTACAGGCTGTGAGCTAATTCAAAGGTTCATCTTCCGAAGACATAAAGTGTTATATATTTTGTAGCGATGTGTATTAAATGATATTGAAACAATGCGAAAGCCTTGGTCCTTTTATTTCAGTGTTGTTGTTTATTCAGTCCTAGACTAAAGGTTTTATAGCACTTATTAGGTGATAAATGATTTATTTTCGTTTAAGCGAAGCGAATTAGAAAATAAATGAATACAATACGTATTGAACAACTGACTGTGTGTTATTAAGATGCTTGAATGGTTTCAACATGTAATTTAGTACCGTAGTAAAGAGATAAATTTGTAAAATAGTTTACGTTCGTATCAAGTCTAAAATGAAGATTTATGAAAGATATGAAAGTCATTCCTGCCACAAAAGTACACCGTCAGACGGCAAATGAATAATCATTACATTATACATTAACTATGTACAGTTTTTGTATACTTTCTTTTCAACAAGATAATTAAAGTATTACTAGAAAAAAAAACATGCTGGTCATTCAATTGAAAGAATGCACAACAGGCCTGTTCAGCCAAAAAATTATATATATATATATATATATATATATATATATATATATATATAATATATATATATATATATATATATATATATATATATATATATATACGTTGAACGTTAACCATATTAACTTCTGACAAGAAATACTTAACAATAGAACTATATGGAATATTTTCAGTGGTCTGAGGTTTTCACATGACCAATGAAAATATTCCGTACTAAAATGATCTGTTACTTTCATTTTGGATTGAGACTTTGACAAACCGGAAAAAACGGTTCGTAATAGTTTCATTTGATATTTGATTGAACAGTTATTGCAAACAGTAATATAATTATATCATATTTAAATGCGCAATACAATAAAATGTTCAATCATTTTGAATAAACTACCGTTCAGTCGGGTAAATTTCACAAAAACCCAGCAGTCAGGTCTCTGTCGACTTACACTTGCGTTGACTTGGAGTTGCCATATCTTCTTATAACTTGAAAGGATTGTAATGACAGCTTTATTTCCTTTAAGAGTAATCAATTTCCTACCATTTGGTACCGAGATTTTGAAAATTGGTGAAAAAGATGTTGGAGTTATGTAGTTCATATTATGATGAGTGCTGAAAAATGTGCGGCGAGTTGCATACCTTTACTAAATACTCGTTTATAGGTATCGATTTTTTAATTTTATGTAGGAAATGACAGAAATTGAATTACAATCATATATCAAATATTAAAACATATTTCAAATGAAAAATACTGCAGTTTACATGGATTTGGAGAAGTAGGAGGGTTGTAGAGTGGGTAAGGGGGAATAGTGACCAATCAACACGTGAAAACCTGTGGTCTTATTAGTTGATACAATAAGAATTTCACCACAACATTCTGTTAACAAAAGAGCACATGTCAATGTTTGTAGTTAAATTTATTGTTATCCAAATAAAAGGTCAGGGTAGGGATTTTTCAATTACAGAGAACAGCATTTGTCTCCCTTTACTCCTTCAAATACAATAATACTTCCTTCTATAATACTTCCATTCACACCTTATTTTATATTGGTAAGTCCCTTTATCATTCTTTTAATATATATTTGCAGATACAAATGCAAATTGTAAATATACAAAAAAAAAAAATTCAATTCAATTCTGTTTTCCCAAAAGCTGTATAAGTATATATAGTACAATTCCTCATATAAACTTCCATGACATGGTTTTCTTAAGCAAGGTGCACGTTTTTTTCATAAATAAGCATAATCACATATGAGATGAGAGTTATCGTTTTTCAAAATTTAAAAAAAAGATCAAAGTACGGTCTTGTTTCTGCAATACAAGTACTTGTTTTGAACGGTAATGCAGTACCAGTAACAGAAGGAGAACACACTTGTGTGATTCAGTTTAAGGTATGATCAGCCTAATGATTTACCAATTCAAAAATTCGACTTTTAAAGTGACATTATGCCCATCCAAGTGTATAAAGTGAGTGAACGGGTGAAGATCAAAATAAGTTTTCATTTTGCCATAATTTCTTTTAATTTAATAATTAAGTTCGCATAAACAATAAATAATGCACAGATTTTTCTGAAAATATCTATCAGAATTTACCTATAACGCTTAGTTTATAACAAAAAGTGGGGCAGTCTTTTTAAATGTTAGGAAAATTTATAATTTTATCCTTAACATTTTTCAATATCAACTGTTGGTCAAACACCATTTTGTCTGTCAATCTTCTGAAATATAAAGTCAATGCAGCTCAGCTTGACTTCCAAATTTTGAGCATAATGTCACTTTAAATAACTGTTAACTGCATTGAAACTTAGGGCGAGAGTTCCAACCACAGAAGGGTCATCTTTTTTTTTCTTTTCTCTTTTTCTTTAAACATTTTTAAACATTATTTACGTATCTCGGAAAGAATTTTGATTATATAACAGATTTGCAATCTGTGATTGTATATAATTTGTCATTAAGAGAGTTGTTTCCCCTGGACCAGTGTTATTCTATTGGTCGGTGGTTATATGCCAGTTTGATCACGTGACAGGGCCCTTCTCACGTTCGATAGTGGTCACGACTCGTTTACCGTTTGGTAAATTTTGTTTAAATTGAACATACAGGTGACCTTTATTTCAGTTCCCTATAGTGCCCGTTAGGGTGGTCAATTTAAGTTATTTTAAATTACATCATAAATTCACACTGATTAATAATATCCTTACGCAGAATATTCCTATTAGATCAAGGATGTGTAACTGTCGCAACTGATATGGCAATTTATATGCAGGAATAATCATTCCTTGTTACTCACCTACAAAGTTTCTATTTAATACCTAAACTGTGAAGTTAACGCTACATGCTGTTCAAAATGCATACATATATTACACAAGGACTAAGACGTATACACAGTGTATATATTAAAATAATTATTTAAATAGTAATCGAAACAGTGAGTAAAAAGAGTTTAGTAGATAAAGAAATTTATAAACCATGCAAGCTAAATGTTTCGGAGGTATCAGATAAATAACAGTAACGCTGCATCCGATCGCTTGACAATTCAAGATCCTGTATGTTGTAATTAAGGATGTTACCGTTACCACACTTAATTAAAGTTTTATAAATGTATTTAATTATTCTTCTTAAACAATTGTTCAACGTCCAAGAATAAGTTAAATATGTACTGAAAATGTTACCACGCATTTTATGTATGCATTTATTTCTTATTGAGTAATTTGGCTTAGACTTTATTTAAAAAAAATTACGACGTCCCTTTATTAACATGAAATGTAAATTCGGTAATAACTTAATAGATAATGCTTCTTACAATATTGATAAATCTTCATTTGAGCATTATATTCATGATGTTAAACCATAAATAATTGGAGGTACAGGAATTTAAAATTTATTTTGTTCACCAGTTGTTTGAGGTAGGCAGATATATATTCTTCCAATTTTCAATTTCCCCTTATCATTTTGTTTTTGTTTTTTATGTCTGGTCCTTAGAGATCATAAACTTAGTCTTGCAATGGGTTTTCTTAATCAGTTGTAAATTGTTTTCATTGAATGGTAGGAACCATCTCTGTACCTCCCATTGCGCTTTCTGTCTTTATTCGGTGTCTTTATGGTGATTATGTGCTGCTGGATGTTTTTGCATCTGCGTTTTCTGAGCATCGTTCGAAATTGACAATCTTTCAATGTTGCGGTTTAGTGTTGACTTAGGCAATGCTCGGTGTTGTGAGTTTCTTAACAATGGACAAAAACAAACATACGTTTATTTATCCATTTTGCTTTTCTTGCTTACAGGGGATACCTACCTCTTTTGTAAATATGTACAAAGACTTCATTTTTATGAATTTGATAAAAAAATAAGTAAAACTAAATACTGCAAGGCTATCTGAATAGAGTGTATTTTTGCCCAAACGTTTACATAAATACATAATATGATTTGTTGATTTGCAAAATTTATTCATAACTTTAAATGATAAACTACAATGTAACCTCATTAATAAAAGTAGTTATGTCGTAATAAATCGTAATGATTGTATGTATGTGTACAAGTTTTTTATAAAAAAATGAAACGTTCATGTACAGCTAAATGTATTTCGAAAAGTAAACACTGTTCAACCGGGTGTTTAAATAGTAACAAATGAAATTAAATGAAGCAATTGAAGCGAAAACAAAACAAAAAAATGTTCAATAAAACAGTTTGCTCAACACACATAAAAATTATATAATTCGTCAAAATTGTATGACAAAAACAAAAAAGGAAAGTTAAAGTCAGATTATGCCTTTAATAGCATCAACCTCATTTGTTATCACAGTTACCTGCTGTATGAAATAATCGCTTTATTTGGCGACCTTTAATGAAAAGTCAAGAGACTTTAAACAGATTTTATTCAAAATGTTAATATAGATTTGAATTACAAATTGACATCTGTCCGTTATTCAAACAATGGAAAATGGATGATACCTAGCACTGACATTATAACAATGGGTGCTAGATTTGTTTTTGAGTATATCTAAACTAGTGCTGTGTCAAACATGACTCAATGCAACTATTTGATTATCAAAGTTATTAGCTAAAGAATGATTAGTTGTGTCACCATTAATGAATTTTGATTTAATCATCCAACTCTCATGCACATATCAATCACAAAAAATGATACAACCTCATCCTATGTATAAAGTCAATATTATGCAAGTTATTTTCAATAAAATGCCAAGTTTTGTTCTTGCAATCAGCTTTCGCGTTTGATTGCGACATTTTTGTTCGAATTTGTTCATTGAAAATGCCACGTTTTGTTCTTGCAATAAGCTTTCGCGTTTGATTGCGATTCTTGTTAGAATTTGCTCATTTATCCTAAAAAGTCAACAGCTTCTGTTGTTATAGTTCCATTTTTCACATCTTTTACTTGAATTTTAAGCTCTGTTCCTCCAAAGATAAGTTTTACCAGAAGTTTGGACCAAATGTCTCCCTTTGGATCTATATCAACTTTAATCAATCCGACAAATTCGCTTCCTTCCTCATCGATAAACATCGGATTCTTCTTTGGAGATTTGTAAACCTCTAATACAGCTTGTTTCATGTAAGCACTTGATGGAAAGTACTCATGTTCCTTGGCTGTGTCAGCTGAATGTACATGAACTTCAGTTCCGACCTCTATATGTTTGTTAAACGCGTCATCACAATATGTAAAGTCGCCCATGTTTACTTTCTTTTTATCGGGATGTTTTCCGGGTTCAAACTTAATCATTCGAGCTATACCATACGTATATGTACATTTCCTTGATGAAATCGCTGTAGTGTGGTGGCCATACTTTTTATTTGCTCCTCTAACACAGCCCCGGGAAGGGTTCTTTTGGAAGTTTTTGCTAATTGTGGGGAAAATTCTTTTTCATTTCTTTTTTGCAAAACATTTGACTCTAAAACCCCTCCAAGGGGAAGAATATGTTAAAATTTTTTTAAAATTTCAATGAGAAATTTTGGGCCAGTTTTGCTTTTATCTTTTTCATTTTCCCTGAAATTAAAAATGTCTTTTCTGGGGTTTTTTTAAAAAACCCATCTTCCCCTTTTTTAAATTTCTACTTTCTTTAGACCTTTTGGTCAAGAAAGGCCTCTCCCAAACATTTAAAGATCAGTTCTTTTTTCATAAATTTCCAACAAACAAAAACGGGGGAATTTTCAAGAAAAACCCCTACCTTTTCCATAAAATTTTACGTTTTTTCAGTTCAAAGTCAGACATAAGTTCCCAATACTCACTTGTATATTTTGTCTTGAAGCGCTTTATTAAAGGACCACCAAAAATGCTGCTAAGAACTTGTAGAAATCTATTATCTACTGTTGTTCCACCAAAGTCTCCTCCGGTAGGCGGAATCAATTCTTTCAACGTTTCATCGCTGTTTACTTCATGGCATGTAATGTCCGCAGTGCCACCTAAAATGATTTTTATTATTGTTTCCTTATTTTTATTTTCTTCATGTTCTTTTTATTAAAGCAGTATATAAGTAAGTAAGTAAGTAAGTAAATTCTTTATTATAGTGACATGTGTTATACGTATATACATACACATAAATACACAAAGATAAACACCCGGCCCATAGGACCTATAAGTCACCTTAACAAAATAACATATTCTGAGCATGTGTTATAGTTTTTAACATGTTATTAACATAATAGTAAAATTCATATCATACATGTTATGCATTTACGGACAGTTCAATTTAATTAATCATGATCTATTATACAATAAATCTCTCCTTAACAGATATGCTTGTACAATAAATTTTTAATAACTTTATTTTGATTGGTTGTTTACGAGGTAAAACTAGTTTTTCATTTGTCTGCCATTGTATTAAATAAATTTTGGAAATAACATTTCCAAAAACAACAGTTCTTAATATCATTGTAAATGGGACACACAACAAGGAAAATGAGCTTCGTCCCTCAATTTGTTGATTTGTTTGGCACAAATTTACAAAGTCTTTGATTAGGCAATTCTCCGCTATAATCTACCGGTTTCTATTCTTAATGGTAGGATACCACATCTAAAACTGCGCGTATAATGAGCGTTCATTTCTTTTTAAATTTAATAATAAATAATTTTTCACATGTGAAGGATGTCCTTAAATAATGTGGAAGTTCTCAGTTTTTGGTACGTTTTTCACAATCAGTAGTCCATATGTCTGCGTAATATTGAATCATTTTTTGAATTGGCACAGTCCATATTGATGGCCAATTTATTTTCAAAATGATCACTGAGGTCTAATTTCGGTCATTATATTCTTCACTTCACTGCCACCAATTATTTATTGTATCACTTTTCTCATAGTCACAGTTGAACATGCCTGTTTCGTAATCCTATAATTAGGTAACTTCACAAGTCTATTCCAATAACGGATCATGCACAACCAACGTCTGTAAATTTACACGGTATCCAACCTGTTTCACCTGAAAGCCGCAAGTTTTGGAGTAAATTGCTATGAACTCCCAAGAAATAAGCGAATGGCCCGGTTTTTGTGTGTTATCTTGACGATTGAAAAAGTTTTCTATAACCCCAAACAGAAAGCCACAATAGTCCAAAATGACGGTATCACGCAGAGGAATTGTTTAGTTTCTGAAATGTTTTAAATCCACAGTTTTTTGAAATAATGTATTTTTGATATAATTCCACCAAGAGCACGACCAGCACTCTTTGATAAAGCTTCACAGTTATATGTAAAGTCATGTTTATCGTGGAGGATAACACCTAAGTATTATATCTGTCTACTGTCTCTAAAGAATTATCACCTATTTTTAAATATGTGATCACATTGCTTGTTGTTCGTCCTTTCCGGAAATGCATAACCTTTTTGACTTTTCACAGTTAATCAACACCCTCCACGCTTGCCCCAGTTATGGCGAATGGTATTAAGCATTATCTGTAGATTTTCGGAGTTATTACTGATGAGAACTTTTATATCATCCGCATAAAGTAGCATTGAGATTGATTGATGTTTCATTCATTTTAATTCCAAGGTGAAGGTCATTAATTTCCTGAACAAGGTCATTTACGAAGATGGCAAAAAGTGTCGGCGACAAATTACACCCCTGCTTCACTCCTTTCGGGCAAATGAACCAGTCTGTGAGCCTGTTATTAATGCGTACACATGAAGTAGAACTACTGTATTATATTTTTTATCGAGTTGTATATTTTACCGTCAATCTTGTTTGATAGTAGTTTGGTAGAGCATCAATGTCTCTGTCAATGAAATTCAAAACACTTTTTTAGATCAATGAATGCTGCCATAACGGATGGTATTGTTTTCTTGTGATACTGTCCTAAAGTTGAAAATGTGATCTTCGCACGAGCGATCTTTGCGGAATCCATTTTGCTCGTCCCGCGAGCATTATCGTGCTGGTTTAAATACGTAGTTATCTTTTGTTAATAAAAAGGCACTATTACAGTTTACTGATGCATGAAAGTAAACTAACCCCTCGATAGTTTCATTAGGTAATCTTGCATCTGTAGTAGCGTCTTTTTCAAAATAGGGCATATAATAGATTTTCTCCACCGGTGTTGGTATTAAACTTGTATCCAATATCAGGTTGAAAAAAGTTCCGCGAAGTACTGATATGACATTGGGAAATTTTAAAAACATCGTATGGTATTTTTTGATCATATCCGGATGATGATTTTGATTTAGCCTTCATGACAATAGCTGACAATTCCTCTAATGTGATATCATTGTTCAAGTATGGAATTTTGCACGTATAATTGGTCAAGAAATGTCGGACTCAATTGCCCGTTTTTCACTTTTTTTCAGATTGTAAAATTCTTCATCAAAATTTTCATCAACTTCGCCATTATAAAGTTCTCAAAATCACGTTTCCATGTCTCAAGTACCGATTTCATCTGTAATTATTTGTTCCGTTTTTATAATCTCCAAGGGAATTGATTTTATTTTGTCTTGGTCCTAACCGTTCGGGATTTTTTTCCCAAAAATCGTTAGGATTTTTGATGATAAATCCTCAATTTTAAGTGTTATTGAATCACGGTATCTCTCGCTCCGATTGTCTTAGTTTTTTATCAAAAAACAGTCCTAGCGTTCTATTATATTCCGTTCGTTAACGCGTTACGCACTGGCCTATTGTCTTTACACTTTAAAAACTTTTCTCTCTTATCTGACATATCTTTCCACAGTTGTGACAGTGTTTCGTCCCCAAAAGGGCTTTTTATTTTTAAAGCGTTTGCCGCTGAACGTTTTGTGTGGCTGGCTGTATTTCGGGATGGTATTATTTCATTTCAGTAATTTAGTGTATCGCATAATAATCCGTAAATTGAATCCATGTCAGACTGTGTCTCGCCGGCTTATTTCAATGCGGACTTAATAATCTCTATTTAATGCCCTCCTGGAAAGTTTCACTACACATGAAGTCTTCCCGGTATTCTATTAAAGATTTATAGCGTAACGGAATATCGCTCTCATATGTACGAGAATTGTCATCATAATCCAACACGTTAAATTCCGTTATACAAGCAGACAATGATCTGGTAATCTTGACCTTTCACCTAGAAGTCCGTGTAATCCGAATTGATCAACAATGGATTGTACAGTTAAAACAACTGAAGTTCTTACACATATTTAAAACGTCATGTGGGACAAAAATTATAATCAACTACACAGATTTCCCTTTGCGTGATATTTGATGTGAAATTGTCGTCTGAATCAAACAAATCTACCGTTTTAATACACAATATTTGGCCTCGCATAGGGGAATTCTAAGAAACTCATGTTTCCGTGCTGGTTCACTGTTTTATCAAGAATATGTCTACAACGTAAGAAATCACGCGCACTAATTACATCCGATAAATGAACCAATGCGAGAGTTGAAAATCTCCAGCCAAAAAAAGTGAATTCACTTTCACTGGGTTAAGGTATATTTGTGCTAATAAATGTGAATAAAATCCCTCCCGCGTCTCTGCCCCTTGTCGAGTTTCTGCTGGAGGTAGATAGCACGAGCAGACGACAAATTCATATGCACTTTTCTTATTTACAAATTCATTGATAAGTATGCCGTCATATGTTTTATCTACAATATAAGTGTTCGTACGCTTCGCATAATTGTATTTTTCACCAAGTAAACCTACACCTCGCTGATGCCTTTGGAGCGTTTCTGTGGTAAATCGAGTCTATTTTGAATCCAAACCACTTATAATCTGTTACATTTATAACATCGTTTCCATTTAAATGTGTCTCACATAATGATTACTATGTTCGGCGTTTGTTGATTTTATTTAAGCTAGCTTTCCTAAGTTCACTATTTCTCCCTTGTCCATCCGGCAAAACATTGAGGTGTACGAGCTTAATAGTACCACTGAGACGGGGCGGTTCATCCTAACTTCTCGTATTTACTTATCTTGGTCTTTGCGCCACGACGCATAATTCGTTACCATTTGCGTTGACACGTTTAATCCAGTTCCTTGTTTGGTAATTCCTCTGAGGGATCGCACGTGCATTCATTTCTATAAAGTCTTTCCTACACGTGATTTGGGAAACTTCTTAATGTAGACGTCTTTGTTTTATCATGTAAATTTGAGTTCTTTGAGAGTCCCAATTTTTTCCTAAGTACCAGAACTTTCTCCTTCGGTGAAACATTTTTGAAAAACTTATTTTTTAAGTAATGGTGGGCGATTTGAAAACCGGAGTTGGGGAGTCGGCCTCACCGCACCTGTGATTAGAACATTTGATGAGACGTCGCTCCCCTAACGTGTTTATTCAAGTCGTTTGCAACTGCCATTAAATCCTTCCCTTCGGGTGTATTTTAATTTATCCGCTCGCCGTTATAGTAATATCTGGGTCATCGACGGGTAATTCGTTATGTTGATGAATCCGTGATGGTCATTGTGACTGAGAAACTGTCTGTCTGACGGTGAAAAGGGTCGTCTGCTCAAATGTGTCAATCCGGGATTGCATGCCTTGAAACAGTTTTCGCTACCTGTTCAATCCGACTACTCTCTCGCGCGATATCGACTGACAACTCGTCACGCAAGGCCCGTACTTTACAGTCAATGTTTTCCATGAGGTCCGATCGAAGCTTATCAAGTTTAGATTCGAACATTCGTTTCATGCTATCTTGATTCTTTTTTATATCCAGAACTGTTTCAAGTAACAAGTCCAATTTATTGTTGTCATTTTTTGTTCATTTACTTTAAAGAACTCTTATTCACTCCTTGTTTGAGGTGATAAGGCTGATCTTTTAGTGTTTGTGCCGTCGTACGAGGCCATTGTTTTCAATGTCTGTGTTATTCACTAACTCTATGATGAACATTGGTGTTTTTTAGTTGTAATATCTGAATAGTCTTGTATCGCAATCATATAAGATTGCACGTGTTTCACATAATAATTCACTCACATTCGATGTATCCGTTTTATTCCCAGACGGCCCTTTTTCTTTGTTTATTTTTTCTTGGATTTAAAAGTTCCTTCTACCGATTCACTACCACTACTCCACTTATTTTCCGTTTTCTTGTCATAGCCATTTATATAAATTGACAAATCTGTATATTTAAATATCAAATTTTCTGTATTAATACTGTTTATATTCCAGAAATATCATAAATTTTCCAGAGCAAAAATTTAAACGTGACCACTGTCCGCCATATTTAATTACCTTTTTACTTTTCCGCAGTGCCACCTAAAATGATTTTTATTATTTTTTATTCTTATTTTTGTTTTCTTAATCTTCTTTTTATTAAAGCAGTATATATTTGGTGAAAAATATGTTTGTTTGCTTAATTGGTAATGAACTGTCAGACTGAAATGTTATAGGCTTTGTAAAGTTAAACGAAATAAAATGTATAATTTCACTGCTTCATTTAACATACCTTATTACATATCTATTACTTATTCAAATATATATATATATACAAATCAAGGAACTTGGAACTTTGATTATGCAATATTGACCGACGAAGATAAGATGTAACAGCTATACTGTATGAACTGGAATTACAAACATGTTACCCAAAAGGATTTGGTAGATATGTGATAACTTTAATGACGGCACTTACAGCCGCATTGTGTATTTGTTATGAATGATGTAAAGGAAATGCACATTAGTATGGAACGCCATTACTGCCTGATTATGCGTATCTTTCGCTATGGTAGTAATCATTATGTTGAGCATTCATTAATATATTATGTACATTTTAGTTATGTTATATGTTTTCTTTATGATATTATTAAAATTCTTTTAATAATTGTTATTCTATTATTATTATTATTGCTATTATCATAATTATATGAATTATTATAAAATAATGTGTATTCTATAATATGTATATTATTTATTAATCAAGATGCACAAAATATAATTAAGATGTACTTTGTATGATACAGTAGGTACATAATACATTACACTATGCACACAATATATTAAAGTATGTAAAAAAGGTAAATAAAGAATACCCAGAAAATAAGTAAGAATGCCTATCCTATAACAAGAATGTACACAATATAAATGTAGGCACACAACAAAATGATCAATTTACATTATAGAAGAAAGATATAATTATGCAATAAAGGTGTTCCAAAAAACGTTTTTTACATGAAAAATAAAAAAAGCCTGTCATTTATTTACCTACCTCCAAGATCTAGAACTAAATATCTGCAGCCAACAGGAACTTTCTGAATGCCTAATTCATTCTTGCAGAAAACGGACGCTGCTTCTGGCTCCAACGCAAGTGAAAGCATTTCATCAGGAATACCAGCCTGTGTGACAAAAAATGATGTTAAACTCTTCAGAATCACTGATTTCAGTTGTCTTATTATTGAGAATTGAATGCACGATTTAGCTGGCCTAAGGGTACAGAAGGTTGTTGCACAACCAATTATATCTCATGAACAGATTTATTTAATTAAGGCTTGAATATATAACAACTACGTCTAGTTTTCATTAAGGTGACAACAGACACTTTCCGTGGTACTCACATAAATGTCATTTAAACCAACTAATTATAGTAATAATTGTTATTTATTTAATTTTTGTGCATTAAATGTCGTTGATCAACATAAAAAAATAACATATTTGAAAGAAATGCCTTTGTAAATGATTGATTTTTAATAAAAATCCTAAAATATTAAATCGTCATATAAAAGTCATTTTTTATTTTTTTTGTCATCAAACTTTTGGAAAATAAACATACTAATAATATCTGGAAAACCATGTCTCAAATTTTTTCTATCTTTTCTCAAAAAAATATTACGTAACGTCAAACATTTTATGTGACTTTTTTCACCATACATATTACGTAATTAAAGATAATTAAGTCGCTGATTGAGCAAACAAAAATCCCTGACACGGTTCCCCCCGAAATGAATTCCCTTTCATGTGTCTTAAACCGTATGTTAATTGCTTGATTATTAAAAAAGTTATGCCGATTCAAAGTTAGTCCGACCCGCATCAAACGAAGTGTCATAAATCGGCTGTTCTCTCTCGGACCCCTACGTTTCACGCTAAATAATTTGCATAATACACAAATATCGCCACCAGAGAGGGTCACAAGTTGCAGTAACATACTCTTACAACATTTTATGACCCAGTGACATCTGACCAATTTAAAAAAGTTGCAGATTAATATCAGTTTATAACAGAACAGAAATTTCTTCAAATCTTAACGTTGGATTTACCGTTCGTCTGGTACCGGTCGCACAAATGTCACGTGACTTTCGGGTAAAATTTGAGGCACTCGGTGGGGGGAATGGAACGTATATAACTGCGCACCGCTAGCGGGTATTTAACTGTTTTCACTTTTGGAAGTTTTTATATTATCATCACATTATTATTATATTATTACCTAGTGTCCCATCTTTTATTCGTTTTATGAAATTCCGTTAAAAATAAAAATAACAAAAAACTGAGCCTTCTGAGGTCTTTTAAACCGTCCATGGTAGATGTACAAATAAGAACGGATATTTATATTTTTTCCTCCAACTTGATATAAATCTTCACATATTTTAATAGAAATAAAATGTATCACTCGATCATTATGATCTGACCTTCTTACTTCTATTAACAAGAATATACATCTATGCATCTAAGCACGCATAGAGATCCACGTTTTCTACTGGGGATATACAATAAATTCCATAACTTGTCCCAGTTATTAGTACTTGTGTTTGATTTAATGGCGAACAATCTTATTCAAAGCATCACTGATAATATATTTTATTATCTTTTTTTTTATGGATTCATAGAGAAAGTAAATCAATACCTAGACAACCAAAAAATATGGTTAGAAAATTTGTCAGGGACAGCTTAACCACAATATCATCAGCTTTCACACTTAAAAATTGTTTGTCTGTTTTTGTTGTTTATTTTAACTTGAAATTGTTAGAAAAACGAGGTTAGAAATGTAAAGCAAGCCCTTGAATCCATATAAAAGTCCATTAACTCGATGTAATATCTATCAGATTAACGGGACAGACAAATTATTTTTCACAATTATGATATATTTAGCAACTATATTTTTAATCAACCCCGTGGTCGTGCGATTTGCCGCTATGCTTAATCATTTATGTTTCATACATTATGTTACGTGCATTGGCCGACAATTTCTTATTTTCTAAAAAAGGCTAAATAAAAGGTTAACGATATTCGGTATTTGTACGATACATGTATTACGAGTAGTATGGACCAGTATGGACCGGTAATTCACGCATATGGAACTACCGATTTCCCTCATTGATGCCTCAACAGGGGGCGGAGCGTTATCGATTATTGACAGGTTACGCGAATAGCAGATAAAAATGGTAGAGGTACCGTTTTAAAACGTTGAAAAACACATTTTTTGGTCTAAATGCTTCCAAAATTAAATCACGAATGTGTTCAGAAAAGATGGATAAATCTACTAAGCAAAAAAAGCTCATTTTAGGTATTTTCAGTGATAATTGACTCCGTTGTCACCATAAGTTTTGGATATATAACTACTAAGTCTAGTTTTCAATGCCCTAAACACTTATCTTGTCTATGTAAACAATATGTAAAACTAGCTGTTCAACTAAAATGTGGTGCCAACCATTCAATGAAAATAATTAACAACTGATTTATAAAACCCATTGCAAGAAGAGTTTTAACTGAAACGGAAACAAAGATGTAAAAACATGGATCAACGTCCTAAATATGATAATCTACTTCCAAAACTATTTAATACATTTTCTACCAATAACCATACGTTTTTAGCTGCTTCTCTCATAAACTTCTTTGATAAATCGTTCCATATTGCAGGCACTGTTAACACCCAGTGTATGTCCGTCTCTTTCTCTATTTGCACCTGTTCTTCTCTGTTAGGATCGTCCAAAACACCAAGCAGATGTTTTCTTATATATCTTATAGCTTCAGAAAAAATGGTGATTGCCTTCATAGGTTTACCAAGGATGTCTTCAATTTCCATATCCTTCTGGAGAGGCTGTAAAATAAATAAATTTTATAGTGTATGTGCTACCACAAATCAATAATTAGATAATTAAATACATTCTTTGGTAAAATGAAGTATCATTTAGTATGTAAAAAGTATTTTAACATGTATAATGATAAAATATAGCACAAAATCAATGTGATAAAATGTGTGAAAACTCAAAAACAGAATTTCTTCCTTACTACGTTCAAATAAAAAAATGATAACTTGCACTCACGAATCTACACCAAGAATGACAATTATCATAGTACACACACACAAACAATTTTACCCAAACATTTTGATATTCACTAACTGTATTATATAGGTTTATGACAGCGCTGTGTCCGCATACCCTTTTTGGTTTTATTTAATGTCAAAACAAAAACGACTTTTTGATTTGTTCCAATAGAAGTATGATATAGAATTATTACTAGTATTTAGTATACATTTTATTTCCAGTATAAAATACCTAAGTGTGTGTCGTATTTTTCTTTTAAAATGTTTTTTCATATTTTTATTAGATAAAAATCATTTTTAGAGTGTTGGTGATACTCGGAGCCGGATCCTACACGTGATTGACGCTCGCTTTAACAACTGCACTAATATGCCACTTCTAAAAAAAAACCAAAAATTACATTGCTTTTTTAAGATTAATACAATGAGTTAAGACTAAGGAAATATATATCAATTTGAGTTCATTGTTTAAGACTAATGCACGGTCTGAGTTCAAATGCGCAGGAATACAATAACGAAGGTCCATAGGCCTGCGTGGCTATTTACAAATCATTTGAACGATAAAATGTCCATTAATATACTAAAGGGCAAAAAATTGATATCTATTTACATTTTAACATGCCAATAAAAAAGAATTGATAAAAATATGCTGAATTGCTTTGAGTATAGAGGAAATTGTCATGTTTGACGTCATATAGTATTGCGTATAATCATTCATATTTTGTGCTGTGCATAAATTGTGTAATAATGCACTTGGCAATCGTATCTGTTTGAAAGGGGAATAGTGTGAAATGGATAGACTGTAAAACATTTCTCCATTTATAGTTACATATTTAGCTAATTCATTTTTCTTGGCTTATTTCTTTGTATTTAAATGAAAATCATAACTTCCCTTTGCCCACTGTTTTCTTTTTAAATTATGCCGCCCCCCCCCCCCCCAAATCGGCCTTGGGTGAACTAAAAAAGATGTTTATTGTACATTTATATTGAGAATGTATAGAAATAGTTAATTGTCATATCTAGAGGTTTAGCAAATTTATATCTTTTCTTATAAATCAATGATGACCTGATAAGTAATTAATCAATAAACGAACTTACACCATCTTGTACAAACAACTTCATTTTGAATCTCTCAAACAGATACCATTTTTGATGTTCCTCTTTTTTCATGAGTTCTTCATATTTTGTTCTGGCTTCCTGGCCAAATGAATGAAATTGTTTGTGATCGTCCAATAATACAACTGTTGGAGTCTGAATTAAACGATAAAAAACGATGACATTAATGTTTTATAATTTATGAATTATACATTAGGCTATAACGTTTATATTCCTAAAATGAAAATTTTTAATTTTGCAGTTTTATATGTTCTTCATCCAACTGTAAATGGTGAGCGCACCGGTAAAAGTTAAGATAACTTTTTTCATAATTGTATTCAATTTTACATTTCAGTATACAAAAATAATCAATAACCTACGTGACAAACTTTATGAAAATTTTATCGGTATCGTTTATTTTCTTAAAAGAGCGGGGAGTCTTTTTAAAAGTTAGTTTTAATACTTCATCCTAACATTTTGATTATCAATTATAAGTCAATCAGCATGATAAAATTGGACCTTTGAAATATTTAGTAATTCAAGTTCCAACTTGACAATGAAAACAGGACAAAGTTACTTTTTTATGTAAAGGTTAGAGTGCATATTGGGTGTTCTTAGTAAATAAGAAAGCTAAAAAGGAGCGGAGCTTGCGAAGCGACTGTAGCTTTCTTATTTACGAAGAACATCCAATATGCACTCTACCCGGCTTAGTGCTCCGCCCACTTGCGTTTTATAATATAAAACGTCCAGTTTATATAAAATCTGTTCTATTAAGAATTGAATCCTGAAAATTTGAAAAATCCTCGTCGGTGATTGGCTTAAAAAAATGGCGAGCACTAACAATTTTTCTATAAACAATAATATAATAATAATGATAATAATAAAAGTGATATTAATAAAAGAAGTGATTTCTTGAGGGAAAAAAATAAACAAATGACCTAATAGATACAAAAGTTAAATAAACCAGAGGAGTACGTAACATATATATTTCAACATTCCGAATTAAATAAAGTAAAAGGTATTAAAAACAAAAATGTACAATCCGAAGATAAGATGCTCTAATCTTATTATTAAAGATAGATAGCATAATTGCATGGATTTCAACTTTTCAGTATATCTAAACTAATATTATACCTTTATAGCACTTTTCTCCCAATAGTTTGTAAAGATTTTGTTTGGGTTTTCACGAAAGGAGTAAGCATAACCGCTGTATGTAGTACCAAAGTCTATAGCGGCTACAAGGATCGTACTACTTTTCTTCGACTTGACCACCTGTGATATGTATACATTCCAATAAATACACGAGACAAGTTTTTATATGTCTTGTTATGAAAAAAGGTATACAGAAGTATATGTCTTGTTATGAAAAAAGGTATACAGAAGGATCAATATTAAAAGTTGTAGAGTCTAAGTAAAATAGGTTGCCAAAGCAGAAATAAATCAAACTCAAACGCTACTATGAATTAATTGCTATTTAGATAAACATAATAGCGAAATAATAATAAATTGCATACGGTGTGTTTCATTTCACTTGAATAACGTGCCTTCAAAAGGGAGCGTCTTGTTCCTGTAATGCAAAAACACTATCAGATGAAGTCATAACAAGTTATTTAAATAGTTTGTATATAGTTGTATGTACCATTTTTACATTACTTCTTTAATTTTATATAATTTCTATAAATCTTTTTACATTACTTCTATTATTTCTATTTACTTCTATCTTTTTAACATAACTTCTATTATTTTTTAATTTACTTCACATGTTTACAGAATTTCTTTGTCAAACTGAAGGATGATTTCAGTAATCATGTAGAATCGTTATTTAGAAATGGTTCTGTAAAATTAAAATTTGTATATGGAAAGGCAAAAAAAAACGTACCAAAACCTCTTGAATACGATGTAAATGGTCGATCCTGTTTACTTTCTCTTTCCAGCCGCATTTTCGTGATAAGGTCATCAAGAGATAAATCATCTGCAATGCATACCAAATAAGCCTAACATAAATTTGATTTGTCATATCATTTTTCATAGTTGTATCTAATAATATATTAGAACATTATACGTTTGAAAGATTCAGTCAATAACATGTTCCAATTATAGTTCCGACATAATTTGCCATTAAATCAGGTTTAGCCCTTTCTTGTTCTATAAACATTGCTTTCATACCTCTAGTAAATAAGTCCTCGTCAGAACATGCCGCTGTTTTCGATTTCTTTGCTTCTGAAAGTAAGATAATTTATGTTATATATACACATGCAAGCATTTTCTGCGATATAAATTGCATTAAGGGGAGGGTATCAATAAGGTTGCTGTACCTTTTGGCCAACCCTTTTGTATATTTTCATTTACTTATTAATGTATAAATATGTGTTATTGTGAAATTTATGTATGTATGTATATATAAACTAAATATTTTTTTATTTATTTATTTGCATAATCAGGCCTTCGGCCCATGCACATATATACACAGCATTAATATTTACATTTAGATATGTAGTATGAAGTCAAATTTGTGTGCCCTACACTATCGTAATGAACATTTCATAGCAAAGTTTTTACATATCTATTTCTTGGTAAATCAAGCAAACGTAACCAATACTTAATAAATCGTTTTGCTGAACAAATCAAGTATTCAAGTGAGGAATACTGGAACCACCCAACAAGGAAATAGCCGAAGCTTAATAGCCGAAGCTTCTACATAAAAAGCAATACGCTTAGTAATAATTGAAATATATATTTTTCTAAATACATTTAGCAAGGCTATACCTCTATAATTATTTCGGTATATAAATTGCGAACGGAGACATACGAAGTTTACATACCATCAATTGTTGTATTTGAACGTTGAAGAGTCTGTCCGCCGATAGCCCCATCTAAAAATACATTTACTAAAGTTAATTTAGCAATACAGTGTAAAATGATATAAATATTAGGACATTTATGACATAATTCCTTAGAATTTTTCATACCGTTTGGTCCAGCCCCTTTGTATATGTACATTTACTTATTTATGTATGATTGTGTATTATTGTGAAATTGTATGTATATATTTTATATATAAACTTAATATAAATCACATTTAGCCATACGATACATAATGTATACTAATAATGATATGTTCATTTATATATTAGATCTAGAAAATTGAGAGTCAAGGATCATAACTCTACCGCGTTCATGGGTATAAAAGCTGTCTTATTAGTCTCTGTTTTTTAAAATGTTCGTTATCAATAAAACCTCCATAGAAAGGATTAAAAACGAATTATTTGTTGAAATGAAATTTAAATAGACATAGATTGCGAGATCAAAATTCGGAACAGAGACATACAAAGCTTACATACCATCAATTGTTGTATTTGGACGTTGAAGAGTCCGTCCGCCTGTAGCCCCATCTAAAATGCATTAACTAAAGTGAATATAGCAATACTGTGTAAAATTTAATACATTTTAAGTCAAGTCATTAATGAAATTATTTCTTAGCAATTGTCATACCATTGGTCATTGTCAAATGTTATTTCTATGGTATCGAGCAGGTGATATTTTTTATAAAGAAATGATTGATGTATATTTGCATACTTACCTGTAGGCCTTAATTCTTTTTTTACCTGTGCTTTTACAGGCGGCGGTTTTGCCTCTGAAAATACATTTAACTTATTTAGAAATGATACAAATCAAGCTTTTTTCTAGTTTTGTATTATACGTAAAATAGGCCTTATGTGAAATATATTATAACAAACATCTCTAAAAGAACTATGCCCGATTTTCTCCTTATTGATTATGTAGATGTCATAGTTAACATAGGTAATATATATAGTTTATATGAATTACCTTCCTTTGGTTCTTCTTTTGATGCTTTGCCTCCCATTGTCACAAAGTTTGCATTTTATTGGAACAATTCTGTAATAAATGTAGAGAAAAAGAATGCTCTCGGTTTTAATGTTTCAATTTGATAAGAGTAAGATTTGATTCAGGTTCTGGCTGATGTTTGAAATTTCCCGCATTTCCCGCTCTGTCACCCTGTTTTAGAACCATCATATTTCTACTATTTTCGAAACTGAAACCAGAATGAGTTATTGATGATGATGTGTTTTTGAGGCACTGCCGCCACGTTTTTCGAACATATGGAATAAGCGCGTCCAGGATAAATGAAACAGCTCAGTTAAATACAAGGAAAAATCAAACAATTTATTTAATATTGGTTTAATCACTGTCACTTAATGTAAATTTACTGGTTTTGTCCTGAGCAGTATAACATATATAAAATATCTTATAAATAAAATCTTATTCGGGATTTGTACATACGATTTGTAAAATAAACATATAGATATTCTAATCAGTATTTGATACACATATATAAGTTCTGAATTGTTTATATGTGTAGTATCCAAAACGAAACACTTTTGCTCGTACATAATTCATTAACAAATTGATGTCTTTCATGTTTAGAAGGGATGTACCGATGGTACTTATCTACCTTTGGGTGGAGTAAGGGGTCAAAATCACCATTCATTTACAGACTGATGTTTTTCACATTTGCCATTTGGTAGGAGCATAACTTTCCCCCCTTTCCTCTCCCTTCTTTGGTGGAGATAGGGGTCAAGTCGAAGGTGCTTAAACTAGATTTTCTAAAAAATTTGTTCATACAGGCTTTATTTAGTGAAAGATGTATTTTCATATTAACAAGGATCATACCTTTGACTGTCAATAGTCACAAGATCAAGGTCACCTAGTTTTTACAATATTTCCGTAAATACAGGTTATTATATAACTATTATCGTCATATCTTATATATTTAATATAATCACTTATTTCCGATATACAATGCAATATTATTTAGTCTTAGATTTCAAGTTTAGACAATCGTTTTGTGCAGAATAAACTGTTATGATCTGATTCCTATATCCAACTTTACATTAACATTTAAAACATCAATGCATTTCTAATACTTTGTGGATAGATCATTGGTGAATTTATTGATCGTTCTAAATTCTTTTGTCAAAAAATCATTTTGAAATGTAATGTGTATGAAATAAAAATAATTTCATTATGGTAATGTTAAACTAAAATTCATTTAAAAGAATAAACTTCTTTTCTCAAAAATATATTTGGTTTTATTTGGTTAGATTTTCTCATAAATGTCAATAAATAGTTATAATTATCGCGGATGTCGTGATAAAAATACAGCCTGTGTTTATTTGAGTGGTGTAAATATATATCATATCACATACTGTATATTTACCGTTAAGAGATAGGAATGATAAAGTGCACTGGTAAATATAGACCTTAAAGTTCAAGTTTAAAATGAAAAGATATCTTTATACATGTAAGGCCGCGTCTACACCTATTCAAGTTTCTTACATGTCACATTTAGATAAGCTAAATAAACGGCCCTTACAACATGTAATCAGACACAATTTTTACTGCAATGTCTTATTTAGATTGCCAAGGATTTATACTTTTGTCTTTGCAACACTACATGTTACATGTTTCTGTAAAATGTGTGAATAAGAACAGCGGGAAAATGATGCAATTAGCTAAACAATGGAGTAAATGAAATGCGTGCATTCTTTTAAAAATGGAAAATGTTAGAAAAAAATACATTTTAATGCAAATTCCTTATTTGATGAAAATTATTCACTAAATAAATAAGATCTTTTAAAATCCATTTTGACTCCATTTGAAAAACAGATTTTTTTAAATTCATCAACTAATTTATTTATTTTTGCTCTTCTGTGTATCAGTGTATTGATTTGTTCCTTTGACAAACATTTACTGAAATTCACAGGTCAGGTTCATTGAATCAGCAACAAAAAAGTCAGAAAATAATAACATCACACCTTCAGGCACATGTTTTGTGTCAAACTGGTGTTATCAATGTTTTGACAGCCATAAACTTGTAGAAAGATAGAACCTGATATAACACTACATGACATAGAATAAACCTATTAAGATAACTCTCTCTAAATGTTTGAACTTTAACAAAGTACACATTGTTACACTCTTCCTATTTCCGTCTCAACAATAACCTTTACAAGTTTGTAATTACCCTTCCTGGCAAAACTGGAACTCCTATAAACTATTGTTAGACTAGTAGATATGCATTAGTCGGAAAATTTTAGACTTGATTTTGTGCATTTCTTTTGTTTTATCAAAATCATATTGTTTTCAAATTTTCTACTAAAAATAGCTTTTCTGATGTACAACATGTCACAGAGCTTTAAGGGATTAAAATGAACGTTTAACTGAAGTGATAGTGTCATGTTTGAATATCATATTCTTTTTATTATTACCTAATTTTATCTACCTAATAAATAACGTGCCAATGAGCCAGTCTTTAGTCGATCGTTCTAAAGCTTAACCGTTGAGAGAGGTAACAACTGAAGCAGTGTCACTCACTTCATTTGCTCCGTCTCTGTTGAAGTTCGTCTCCGCCTTAAAGTGTCGCCAAATTCAATATGCTAGCATTAAGTCTTCGCTGACTGGGGTGGGGGGAGGAAACCAGGACAATTATGATCAATATAAGTTACAAAGCATAAACCACGCCTACTATCAGAGAGGCGGTTCTCCCTTAACCCTTAGTTCAACACAGACCCGTTTATAGTCTAATGACGGGCAGAGAACAAGAGGTGTCACTAAAATACGTAACGGAGATTATTTTGTCCATACGAATATGCAATCTTTATTTATTCAAGTAGTTTAATCTTTTATAAATAAGTACACACTACGTAAGAAAGAATTGATTATATCTATCAATTGATTCATGACTATTATTTGATATTACAGACATATTTTTGCTATTTGTAAAATAACAGACAGTTAGTCCTCAAAATCATTCGAACATAATGCAAGTCGAACCAATATTTAAATGACCATATTCTTGGCACATATTGTCTTGAATTTCTTTTAATTTTACCAATCATTTCAATTTCACTTGTTATCCAAATTATTTTGCTTCGACCAGGCGTTTCAATCTTTGTTACAACAAACAAACATTTCAGAATTTCAGACACATACTAAGAACAAGGAGAAAAAATTAATTAGTGCTTTGGGTATTCAGCTGTAATATAGAACGATTTTCAGTTCTGATTTTGTACATAAGCTGTGACTGTTCACATCATTTGGTGGCGTCTTTGATGTGCAGCATACACATTTAACTTCTATCAATCTATTATTCTATTATTGTCCTCATAAGAGTAGTTCAAATTGAAAATTATGACGAATTTTTGTAAATATCCTGTAAAGTTATGTGTCCTATAATACATGGTTAAAGTCACGTGCCGAAGATAACGATTCTATACAATTACATCTAGTTTGTAAATTAGAACATAAATATGAAATTTAAATAGAAACATTCCTCAAATCATGGAAATCATCATACAAGTATTGTCTATACTGAAAACACTTTATTGTCGCCGCGTAGATATCGGCCACTCAAAACATGTGTGTTATGCGGTTGCGTGTATCAAGCATTTTTGTCATACTTTGCGTTGTCTTAACTAACGATTTACGGAAATTGTGAAGACATTGACTTAAAAATAATATTGAGATTCAGAATACCTATTTGTTTTACCTTCACGAAAACGTTTCAGTACTTTCAAGGGGTATATTAATCACTTCTCCCAATATTCAAAGGCCATGGTCCTTATATACATTAGTTTACGGACCTCTTATGTACTTGAATATTTTCTTAATTTTATACGAGATTAGTTGATGACGTTACTATCTCTTGAAATATTTTATTAAATATCGACATTACGAAAATGAATAGACAACCATAAGAATGTATTGATAAATTAGTGGCATAAACAATAATTTCACTTAAAAATAATGCATTGAAACATAGAATACATTGGTTTCATTGCATTTACATAGTATGAAATTTACGATGTAAATGTAGATTGCATGCATATTAACTACAAGTTCAACCATTAATTCTATGCACTTATCTTCTTTTGTGTTAGCAACAGTTAACATATATCTGTGATCTAAAACCACTAAATATGTTCGCATAGTCGGAAGTAATATTTGCACCTGCTTTTTAAATTCACCTCTTCATGAAAAATCTCATAACACTAGAAATGTGTCATCATGCCACGGATGCCCCCGCATGCAGCCAAAATTTCAGATGGTGCATTAATTATTTTTTTCATTTTAAGTTCAAAGCCCTTAAAACTTTTCAATGTTAACACAAACCATTTTCATACAATGTTCAAGGCACTGAAATTATTCAGTCTTAACCTTTTAAAAATAGCATATTGCATTTTTGTAGCCAAAATAATGGCTAAAAGTATGAGTGCTGAAACTGACAGTTCAAATTTTTTCCAACATTCAGGAAAGATAAGTTTGTCTAAAATCATTGAACCACGACCAAATTCAAACTTAAACTGCTTATTCCTAAGATGTATCTATATCATTTTCAAAGTGAAAGGGACATAACTCTATCAAAAAATCATCAAACCATGACCAAATTCCAACTTGACCTGCCCATTCCTTTGACATATCAATATGTCAAATTTAAGTTGAATATATAACACTGTTGGGTAGATAATGAACAGAAACTGTAAATTTCATATTATTTTCAAAGTGAAAGAGGCATTACTCTGCCAAAAATCATTGAACCATGACCAAATTCGAACTTGGCCTGGGCAATCCAAAAACATATCCATATGTCAAATTTGAGTTGAATGTGTTGTACCATTGGGGAGATAATAAACGGAAACTGAAAATTTCATATTACTTTCAAAGTAAAAGGGGCATAACTCTGCCAAAAATCATTGAACCATGACCAAATTTGAACTTGACCTGCGCGTTCCTTTGACGCATCCATATGTCAAGTTTGAGTTGAATGTGTTGTACCATTGGGGAGATAATGAACGGAAACTGAAAATTTCATATTGTTTTCAAAGTAAAAGGGGCATAACTCTGCCAAAAATCATCGAACCATGACCATATTCAAACTTGACTTGTATTTTTTTCATGACATATCCATATGTCAAGTTTGAGTTGAATGTGTTGTACCTTTGGGGAGATAATGAACGGAAACTGAAAATTTCATATTATATTCAAAGAAAAAGGGGCATGACTCTGCCAAAAGTCATTGAACCATAAATAAATTCGAACTTGACCTGTATTTTCTCATAACATATCCATATGTCAAGTTTGAGTTGAATGTGTTGTACCGTTGGGGAGATAATGAACGGAAACTGAAAATTTCATATTATTTTCAAAGTAAAAGGGGCATAACTCTGCCAAAAATCATCGAACCATGACCAAATTCGCACTTGACCTGTACCTTCTCATGGCATATCCATATGTCAAATTTGAGTTGAATGTGTGCAACCGTTCTTAAGATAATGGACAGAAACTGATGATGACGGAATGACAGAATGACGGAAGGACGGAAGGATGGAAGGACGGAAGGACGGAACAGGGTAACACTATATGCCCCGGCCATTACATGGCGGGGGCATAAAAAACGTTCGGCGACTTAGATATTCTTTGTATCAAGGATAGTCTTGTGACCTTATCTTATATAATACATCTAGTCAAAATGCCCCGTGTACATGTCACAAGCCTACCCATTTTGAAGCAGGATTGGTGATGATTTTCCTCAGTGCAATATCCACATAGCATAACAAAAGAAATGCGATTAGCAATAGAAGGCCACTTTAAAGATATCTAACAGCAACTAAACGTACAGTAACCTGTGTCAATAACGAAGCAGATAACCCCGAATAAGGGTTGTTAGTAACAAGCAAAGGGCTGTTAGTCAGGCCGACACTGCGTATTAGACGCTCATGTACACTTGTTTCCTTCCTAGCCAGCTGGTTCGAAGATGTACAAGATCGGCTGAGATCTGTCTCTTTATAAAGTCAATAACTGGGCCTCTAGCCCCTACCTTAATGTTTTTATACAAAGTTTAGACTAAGTTTACCAAAATTAAGTTATAATATATATTTCTATTGTGTCGTTGATTTCCCCTTATCAATCACGTGTGGTTGATAATAAAGTTCACATAGTTTGCGTTTTTTTCTTAACCAGGAAGAGGAACTATAAAACACTTGTTTACATTACAACAAATATTAAATAGGTATTGGTTTTATATATCAAAAGGGACTTTAATATACGAGTATTCCACGAAATAAATCAACCCGGAAGTTTAAAAAATAACAACCGGAACGCCTACTTTTAGGTTAAATTCCGGCTTGTTACTAAAATAAATATATGAATTTAAACTTAATGAAACCGTTTTATGTTAAACTGATCAATCTTAGTCAATACTGACACGGTAGTCTACTTACCCTGGGGTTATTTCTACCATTTAGGCTACTTTCGTTTTCGTAAACAAAGTATGTCAATGCTATTATTCATTGAATAATTCAGTATTTTAACAAATTTATAATGCTTTTCAAAATATTAAATGAATTTAAAGTGTAATAGCAGAATTAAAGTAAAACGTAAGCTACGGTGCTGCTACTGAGATACGTTGAAATCGAAAGTTAAAAACAAAATAAACTTTTATAAATCATATAAACATACTGTTTATATATTAATAATGAACTGTTGTACACAAAACAATATCATTATATATTAATTGTTTGTTTACCTTTATTTGTACGAGAAAAACATTCTGTTCCAAAATAACATTGTCGTCTGAATAACAAATAAACACACGTACAGGTAACACGTGATATGTATATTTGTAGTAAATACAAACGATATAGTTTAGATTAAAGTAGGAAAGATAACTGTTAAAATTAAAATTCTCTTTAGATAACACACTGAGCTCCGTTGTTATGTGGTTTGATATAAAACCATACTTCTACATGTATTTACCATTTGCAAAATATCACAAATTACAGTAAGTAGTACATCTTAGAAATAAATATACATTCTTAAATATACTATTATCATATAACAGGTGCTTGCTATACACAACATTATATAAAGAAAAATTATAACAATGAACATGCAGTATCTTTATTTCATTATTACATACAGTACAACAGGAACATAGACTGTAGAAAAATAAATATATATAATGTCTCTGGTTACATATACATTTCAAAAACATTCGACAACAACAGGTGTTAAATTTTTTCAGTATTACGTAAAGACATTATAAAAAGAAGTATGTCACACCCTAACTATAGGGATCCTTATAATTAGAACTGTAAAGAGTGTTCTATTTGTAGTTGTTGAGCTTTTTAGGGTTTTTTATGCCGATGAAATCCTCTTAAATGGAGTGAGCAGCTGTATTCATAATCAATGTTGAAGGGCCTCAAGATTCAATATATGCTATTTCCTGTACGCTATGAATCCTTCATGTAACCACTGAACTGACGTACATGTGTACGGACGGCACAGACACTCTGAAATTAATCAATGATTTTCAGCATAATCATTGGTTTAGGTTTCCAAACTTAATGAGAGCTCTATTCTATATCGCGCATGCTTTTCGACATATAGTAAGGGCATCGGTGAACAGAGCGCCACGTTGTTGCTCTCTTACATATGTGTAACACCGCACTTTGTTGTAAAACGAACGTCAGGTTCAAAATCGAGAAATGAACCACCAGAGTGCGTTGATAGGATAAATATAAACGTAATTTGGATTCCAATTCGACATCTTTAGACTTAAAATGAAATATTACACTAATGAAATTTTATGTATACGTTAATTTACAGCACGAGATTATTCTGAATTAAAGCAATTTCAGGGTTTGTAAAGATTATTGTAGGGTTATATAAAATGCATCAAAAACGCTGTCATTTTTAAATGATCCCCATATCAGAAAAGAGATGAATTTCATATTTTTCTAAAAATTCTCTTAATTTCTGTCGTAAATGGGCGTGAATTTCATCTAAATATGCACAAATAATCTTGATCAGTGTGTTGAATTCTTTTAGTTTGGCATCTATATCGGAAGCCATTTTAAATGTTACATTGACAGGATGGCACACTTCCCTTAAATATAAATTGTAATAGGAAAAATCCATGTTTAAATGGGTCCTCGTTAGATCCTAAGATATAAGAATCTGGATTTTTATCACATTGAAATATATATGTCACACAACCTTTGCGTACAACCCCTTAGCAATCCCTTAGATGTAACAACATATTAAAATAAACTATCGTTTGCTAGTGTTATCCATTTAAATACACTGCGCTTTCTTCATTCCTTATTTTTAATTTACAATCGGCATTACTAGTAACTTCAAATGCCGCTAAAATTCATTTAATTTATTTGATGTTAATGGCCGACCCAAAAGTGCGTGTTTTGTGCTAGGAAATTACAAATGTACCTGTGTGCCTCACTATGACCCAAAGGTGCGTTTTTTCCAAAGTGCGTTGTTATAAAGGTGGAACATAATTTGGTGCGTAAAATAACGACAAACACAACACTATTGCTCTATCTCTTAATCTATACGTTTTATGGACAATATTGTGTTTTAGATCATGAGGCGTAACACCGTATTTCACAACATGTGCTCGTACTGTAGAGGAAAATGATATCTTATATGAATGTCTTGATTGACAAATTGTATCTGATCCAGAAATTTCATCCAAACGCCAGTATTGAACAGATGCAAGTATAACACCCTCGTGGTGATGTTATCCAGTTATTGAAACACAATTGTACTCTCTAGACACAACTATTTCTTCATTTATTTCATATGGGGTGTATATTTCTCAATTAATTAGATTTTCTAGGGAGTGCAGTCGTGTTGATGATTTTCATGAGCGCAATTTATTTATTACTAACAAACTTCTTAAACAAGGTAATCGCTATCATAAATTGCGTAAATATTTTTCAAAGTTTTGTCATCGTAATTCAGACTTAAGTTTTGAAATTTAATTGTAATTTAAAAACTCTTTTACGACTAGGTATAAGCAAACCTGTCTTCTATGGAGATGTGGTTTACAAACTTCGTAGGATTTATGGGTAATAGTAATTTTTCTGCCGTCTTCACTAAAATTATCAAACGGTTTATTAAAAGAGGTTATGACCCAATTATTTTTAAGACATACCGCATGCTTGGTGTTCAAACCTTTTAACAGTTGGACGCTACGCTTTTCCTCTTTTAATTACATCTGACGGACTAAGTGGGAGACTGTATGATGGACAGTTCTTTAAGCCCTTTGGGACTGAATTGTCTTAATGTTCGTCTTTTGTCTTGCTTCGTCGGGCCCTTGTAGGTGATTTTCTTGTTGCTCTGTCTTCCTTAAAGGCATCGAGTACTTTGTTAATGGTCATTAGGCTGTACCTTTTTCCGTTCATTATCTCCCCAAATGGTACAAAAACCACATCAAAACCAAAACTTGACATTATGGATTTGTCAAATGAAGCGCAGTTCAAAGTTTCAAATTTGGGTCATGCGGTTCCCAATAATTTTTAGTGGCAGAGTTATGCCCCCTTTCAACTTTGAAAGTAATATGAAATTTTTTCAGTTATCCATTTATTATCTCCCCAATTGGTACAACACATTCAACTCAAATTTTGAACATAAGGATATGTTTTTGAAAATGCCCAAGGGCCAAGTTAAAATTTCGTTCATGGGTTCAATGATTTTTGGCAAGAGTAATGCCCCTCACTTTGGGAAAATTTAATTAGAAATTTTACAGTTTCTGTTTCATTATTTTACCCAACAGGTTACATATTCAACTTAAAATTTGAACATATGGAATATGTCAAAGGAATGGGCAGGTCAATTGGAAAATTTGGTCCATGGTTTTTTTTTTTTTGATTTTTTTTGGCAGAGTTATGTCCCTTTTCACTTTGAAGATAATTTTAGATTACCATTCTTAGGAATAAGCAGGGTTTAAAGTTTGAATTTGGTTTTGGTTGAATGATTTTTAGAAAAACTTATCTTTCCCTGAAAATTTGGAAAAAATTTTGAACTTTCCAGTTTTCCAGCGCTCATACTTTTTAGCCATTTATTTTGGCCTACAAAAAGCAATATACTATTTTCTAAAAGGTTTTAAGACTGAATAAATTTCAGTGCCGTTTGAACATTGTTATGAGAATGGTTTGTGTTTAATATTTGAAAAGTTTTAAAGGGCTTTGAACTTAAAAAAATGGGAAAAAATAATTAATGCACCATCTGAAAATTTT